GGGGGGTGGGGTTCAGCACCCAACAGATGGCAGGGGACAAGGGACAAGGCAGGGACACCCTGGAGGGGTTGGGGGGTGTCTGGATTTCCTGGGAACAGAGGGATTGGGAGTGGGATATCCCAGCAATTCCCCTGCTGTGCCTTAAAAGAGGAGAAGAATAGTAATTAAATAAATAATCCTAATTCATAAGAATTATTTTAGGTCTCATGCAGCTAAAAACAAGGGGAAGTGGAAGGTGCATGACCTGGCACTGGTGTGGGGCCATCCCAGTTAAGATGGGGATAGAACCTGTAATGAAATGCATGTATTTTCATAATTAAAGATGAAGGCAGGTCCCAACACCTCCATGGTGGGGTTTTCAAATCTCATCTTCCTCTTCCTCTCATGTCTTCCTCAGGTTGTTGCTTGAAGACTCCAAAGGAGGAACAACTTGGGTCTGACCAACACTGCAACACCTGCCTGGGAAGGCAGAAAAACCCTCCCTCTGGCTTGGATTTGTTACTCACAATTAAGAAATGGGTTCATTTAGGTCTTTAATCAAGTCCAGCTTCTGCCCTTGTTCCCTTCAGGCTTTGCAAACAAGGCAGGTTTTGTGCTCCCTCTGCAAAAAGGGTGAAGACACCAGCAGGAACTGGGATTTTTGGGGCAGCCAAAGGGACAAAACCACCAAAGGGCAGAAATTCTGCTGGAGAAAACAAGTAAAAATTCCCCAGAAAGCATAAATGGGCACAAAACTCCCTGTGACATCCACCCAAACCCTGCCCTTGGGTCCTTACCTGGTGGGAACTGGGGTGGTTTGGAACTGGGTTTTGGTTTCTTTCCAGAAAATGGTGCAAAATGAATCCAAACCCAAACTTGAAGCACATTTTTGGGGGAGTAAACAGATGGTGGGTTGAGTATTTGCCACCCTGGGCAGAGTGGGAAGAGGGTGATGGGAAAACCAGGATCCCCAGGAGGGTTTTCCACCCAAGGTGGGAAGAGCTGGTTCCAGAAGTTTCCCAACTTCAATTTAATAATTGAAATAATTTCAACATTTTCCTAGATAATGAGGTATGAACATTTCAATGTTGTTACTGGCTCAGAAAGAAGATTCATTTGTGGCTCATTCATCCCCTCTGAAGCTCCAGAAGAAGAAAAACCTGGAGTTTTGATTTCTTGACCTTCAGCAGTTTTCCCAGAGGATTCCTGGGATGCCAGGGGGTGCCTGGATTTCACCAGGAGCCAGATCATCCCCAGCTTACCCGGGAAACAGGAAGGATGTCAAGGAGCAAAACCAATCCTGGTGTGCTGGGAATAAACCCAGGTTCCATGGAAGGATAGAGGAGACAGGTCACAGCACCTGCTTCAAACCCATGGAGAAAATCATGGAATCCCAGACTGGTTCGGGTTGGAAGGGACCTTAAAGATCATCCAGTCCCAAGCCCCTGCATGGGCAGGGACACCTCCCACCAGCCCAGGCTGCTCCAAGCCCCATCCAACCTGCCCTTCAACCCTGCCAGGGATGGGGCAGCCACAGCTTTCCTGGGCAACCTGGGCCAGGCTCTCACCACCCTCACACCCAAGAATTTCCTCCTCATGTCCAACCTCAATCTCCCTCTTCCACTTTTAATCTATCCCCCTTGTCCTCTCCCTCCCTGCCCTTGTCCCAGGCCCCTCCCCAGCTTTCCTGGAGCCCCTTCAGGCCCTGGAAGGTGCTCTACGGCCTCCCTGGAGCCTTCTCTTCTCACCTCTCCCAGCCTGTCCCCAGAGCAGAGCTGCTCCAACCCTTGGATCATCTCTGTGGCTCCTCTGGACTCTCTCCAGGAGCTCCCTGTCCTTCCTGTGTTGGGGGCTCCAGACCTGGGCCCAGCTCTCCAAGGGGTCTCCCCAGAGCAGAGCAGAGGGGACAATCCCCTCCCTGGCCCTGCTGCCCACGCTGCAGGTGACACAACCCAGGCCATGGATGATCACACTGAGCTCAGTCCAGCAACCAAACCCCGAGGTGGAACACCCTGATGGTGGAGCTGGAAAGGGAGCAGCAGACACCAGTGATGCTCAACAGGATCTCACGTTTATTATTGAGAAGTGATTAATGGTGAAAAGAAAAAGGCAAGGCCCATTCCTCGTTTGGCTTAACAAGAAACAGAAGAAACATTTTTTCACTACACATTTTACAATATTTCTTCTTACTTTTTTTTTCCTTTTTGTTTTTTTTTGTTTGTTTTGTCCAAAATTCATTTTCCTGTAAACAAAACAAGTTGTGTTCTTTTTTTTTTTTAACCCACTGTTCTCAGCTTTTTTTCAAATGAAAGGAATCCAGACTCCATCTGTAAATCCATAGAATGCACAAGAACAGAAACGTTTCTGAGGACTCTTAAGTACTTGACTTTTTGAGTCACAAAAAGGGTCAGAGGGGAAAAAAACCCAAATGAACCACCTTTAAGACACAACCTCGTGGACCATTTCTTTTCTTCTTAGGCCAAAATCCTAAATTCCTCGTGGAATTTTTTTCCTTTTCCAGGCCAGGAAGGGGGGGAAGGGGAGAAATCAAAAAGAAAAAAACCCAAGAAAAAGTGACTCCACTTTCCATGGTGGGTTGTTACAACTCGGTGTTTTCCAAGTGCAAATATCAAAATCAGGGGGAGGAGGAGACAGGGGGGAGGGGGAGGAAGCAGCAGGGTTTAAAAATTAGAGGGAGAAGGGAAAAAAAAAAAGGCAGATGCCACTTAAGGACTTGAAAATCCCAAAATAAAACCATAGTAAAAAGACAAAAAAAACCCCAAAGTGAATGCTCTGAAATCACAACCAAAGCCAAAAGAAAGGGAAACAGTTTTTACTTCTAACTCTACCTAGAAGGGATTATTTTTTTTTGCTGTTTTTCTTTTTCCTTTTTTTTTTTAAAGTCCTATGTCTTGTGAAATTCCAATCCTTTTTGTTTCTTTCCACTGTGAGTTTGGAAGAGTTTTGTTTTTTAAAGTCCATGAAATTAAGAAGGGGAGGGGGAGAAAAAACAAACAACCCAAACCAAGTTCTAACTCTCTCCAGGATGTGTTGTTGGTTGTTTTTTTTTTGCTCTTTCTTTCTCTCTCTGAAAGATGCTGGGATGCAAATTCTGCTGCAGTCTCTGGGGGAGGAAGGGCCCTTTTTTACTTGACACGGCCTTGGCGTTCCTGCAAGAGAAAGAAGGAGGTGTTAGGCAAGAGAAATTCCCTTCCCATGGGCATTTCAACACCTGGATCTGCCAAGGAGACCTATCCCAAGGGAGAAAAAAAGCCTGAGGGGAAGTATTTCCCTTTGCCAAAGAGGTACTGGGATTGTAAAGAGCTGATGGGGGGGTGGACTGGGCTGCCCAGGTGTCCCAGATCGTTGTGTTTCCTCTTGCCAAGGATTGGTGCTGCCTCAGTTCTGCTGCTCTTAATTCTCTCCTTGCTCAGGGCAGTGTCCTTCAGCAGAGCTCTCATGGCCAGGCTGCTCCAGGCTTCAGCTTCAACAGGAAAAAGGGGAGAAGGAAAAAGGAAAAGGAAAGAAGGAGCAAAGAAACCAAGAAAAGCGAAGAATTGGTGGGAAAAAAAGTGAGGCCAGGTCATGGGTCTGCAGCACCTACAAGATGATAGACTGGTCTGGGTTGGAAGGGACCTTAAAGATCATCCAGTCCCACCCCCTGCATGGGCAGGGACACCTCCCACCAGCCCAGGTTGCTCCAAGCCCCATCCAACCTGCCCTTCAACACTGCCAGGGATGGGGCAGCCACAGCTTCCCTGGGCAACCTGGGCCAGGCTCTCACCACCCTCACACCCAACAATTTCCTCCTCATGTCCAACCTCCATCTCCCCTCTGCCAGTTTTAATCCATCCCCCTTGTCCTCTCCTTCCCTGCCCCTGTCCCAAGTCCCTCCTCAGCTTTCCTGGAGCCCCTTAAGGCACTGGGAGGTTCTTTAAGGTCTCAGCCATGATCAGGTTGGAAACCAGCAAAGCTCTGGGCAGGAGAAGCCGTGGGCAGCTCTGGGAGCAGGTCTCAGGATGCTGCAGGGATCAGGGGGATCTGCCCCTGCACTGGGGAGAAGGAAGAGGAACCACAGGCTGGGCCCACAGCACAGCCCTGCTGCTGGAACAGGACAGCCCAGCTCCCCTGGTGTGGCACTGACCTTGTGGCCTCACCTGAGCTCCCAGGTGGGCACCTCATCAGGCTTGCAGCTCAAACCCAGGGAGTATAAACATCTGCCCAGGACTGACACAGCCCACAGCCACCAGAACTACACTGGTAACTCTGAAACCTACTGAGGACACCTCACACAAAAACCAACCAGTTCACAGGACCCCCAAGGGATTTCTCACCAACTGCTGCTCCCCAACCCTTGGTATTCCTCCACCTCTCCTCCAGCACTGAAGGTACACCCTGTCTAGACAAACACTTGCACCAAGCTGAACAGGGAGCACAGCACCAAACATACTCAGGCACTGAGGACCACCACAGCTGCTTCTGTGCTGAGCACCACATGCCACAGTCTTGAGTTTTGTTTGGGCTTCACAGAGCACAGAAGTGGGTCTAGACTATCTCAAAGGGTTAAGAGATGCTGCCCAACCCACTGTTCAAAGTGCCACTTGCAGATCATATGACACCACCTCAGGAATACAACAGCTGAAGGGCTCTTGGCTGATGCTCCTCCCTGCCTCTTCTCCAAGCACAGGCAGGTCCCTGCAGCCTCATGCATGAAGGGCACTGTGGGGTTTTGGCTCTGGCTTCCAGCTGGGTGGTGGAGAGAGTTCACCACCACCTAAACCAGTCCTGAGAGGTGCCAAGTCCATCCCACCTGAACCACAAAGGTACACCTGCAGTGGGTGCTGGCTGGCAGAGCAAGAGAACATGGGCTCTCCCGTCTGTTAGAGAAAGATGCTGTTGGGGCTCTGAAATCACACAGAGTGGTGGGGTTGGAAAGGACCTCTGGAGATCATTCAGTCCAACCCCCTGCCAGAGCAGGATCCCTTAGAGCAGATCCCATAGGAATACATCCAGGGGGGTTTGGAATGTCTCTGGGGATGGAGACTCCACAGCCTCCCTGGGCAGCCTGGCCCAGCCCTCAGAGAACAGACATTTTCTTATATTTAGGTTCAACCTCCTGTGCTCCAGTTTGTCTCATTGCCCCTTGTCCTGTCACTGGCCACCACAGAGGAGAGTCTGGCCCATCCTCCTGACACCCTCTGTAGATATTGACCAGATCCCCCCTCAGCCTCCTCCTCTCCAGCTGAACAGCCCCAGCTCTCCCAGCCTTTCCTCAGGCAGATGCTCCAGTCCCCTCAGCATCTCAGTGCCCTGGACTGGACTCTCTCCAGTAGCTCTCTAACCTTCCTGAAGTGGGGAGCCCAGAACTGGACCCAGTTCTCCAGGGGCCTCACCAGGGCAGAACACAGAGCTGTTTCAGCTCAGGACCCTTCCCTGTAAGGCAGTGTCCTCTGAGGTCAGCACAGCCACAGAGCTGCCTGCTTCCCCCTGCCCCAGCTTTACCTGCTTCTCTGGTTACCAGGTACTCCCCCCCTCAGCATCTCACTGGTAAATCCAGGGAGATGTGATCTCCAAGAAGCTCCAATCCCAAGCCACCAGCACGTACAGCCATCTGTTCCTAGAAACCTTCCCAGAAACTGGGGCCTTGACTCCAGCTCGATCCAACAGCCCAGGATCTGACAGCCCCCAAGCACCCCAGGGAGGCTCTGGCTCCTTTCCCCCTCACGAGCTGGATGGCAGGGCAAGATTGTCCTCTGGGGAGGGGGATCAGACAAAGACACAAGTTCTCCTCAAGAACAGCTACCCCACAGAAGTCGACTTCCTTCTCTTCCCTAGTAAGTCTGCCCAGATCTGTCACAGGTGCCATTTCAGGCTAAGAAAACACCACAGGAGCAAAACAAAACAACCAGGATGGAAAACAAAGCCAGTTTTGGACACGGAATCAACCAAGAGCTGCAGGGAAAGCCACAAATGCTAAGGGAGGTGCCAAGTCCTGTTGCTTCTCTGCTGCTTGGCTCCTTAAACAAGGACAGATGGACACATGACACATTCCTCTGGGAAGAGGCTGTGACTGCCTGAGCTAATGCTCCATCTTCCTGGGATAAGACAGACATGGGGTAAGGTTGAGATGGGATGAGGCTGGTGAGGCCCTGGCCCAGGGAAGCTGTGGCTGCCCCATCCCTGGCAGTGTTGAAGGGCAGGTTGGATGGGGCTTGGAGCAACCTGGGCTGGTGGGAGGTGTCCCTGCCCATGCAGGGGGTGGGACTGGATGGTCTTTAAGGTCCTTCCAACCCAAATCATTCCATGATCCCATGATTTACATCACATCTTCTCCTGGGAAGGTGGGTAGCCAGGGTCTGAAGGACTTTTATACCCTCTAATCTACCAGCACAACATCCCATGAACACATCTTGGTCCTTGGGGTGTTCTGGAGTTACAATTGAGCACCCAAACCATGCAAAGCAGCAAACAGATCTAGCAGAACACACAGCAAAGGTCACCAGTGTTGCAAACTTTCCTCCTGGCTCATCCCAGGGGTGGTGTAACCCACAGCCCACCCAGCTATGGGCCAGCCCAGGAGAAGGCAAAACAGCACCTGCATGCACACGCTGGGCTTTGCTCTGGCACACAGCCCTGGAGGGCAAAGAGATTCCATCAGGAAGTGGTTTCCTCTCCTTGGCTGCACTTTCATTAGACTTGGGCCATGTCTTCCTGATCCAAGTGGGAGAAGTGAGACTGACACCAGGCCAGATACCTTGGCTCCACCTCCTCAGCACCCAGAGGGGCAGGAGCAAGACAGCACCAAAATGGCTGAAGGGCGAAGCCATACACAGGTGACCAGAAGGACACAAGAACACGGCTCAGACCAAGTGCTGACACCCACAGGTCCCTGCAGGGCTGCTCCTGGGCTGGCAGCACCCAGAGGCACCCAGGGTGCAAGCAGGAGCTCTGTAATCATCCCACTTCACCACAGTCCCCAGGGGGCTGCAGCAATGTCACCAGCCAGGTCCTGATAACAGCAACTGAAGGAGCTGGTGGAGAAGGCTGAGGAGAGATTATCTAGTCACACTGTGGGGAGCCAACAACAAAAGGCTCAAGAGTTGTTGTGATGATAAAAGGTGATAACACTGTACATTTGTTCAGAGGCTCTTACCTCAATTAACAACCAACAACCAGGGAGGTGGCTGAGTCATCATCCCTGGAGGTGTCTAAAAGCCATGTAGATGTGGTGCTGAGGGACATGGTTTAGCTCTGGACTCAGTAAAGCTGGTTTATGGTTGGACTTGATGACCGTGAAGGTCTTTTCTAAACAGAATAATTCTGTGATCCTGTTCAACCTCCAGACTCCTCTGGTAAAGGTAAGGATATTATTGCCATGAGGCAGATGGGGAAAAAGAAAGCTACAGTGAGAGGAAGGCCTGGAGAAGAACCAAGAGCAGAGGTCCCAGCTGTGCAGCCCACCAGCCATGGTTTCCTTGGCCCTGCCTGACCTGGAGCACAGCAGCCTGAGGACAGAGAGCAGGCCAAGAAGCAGCCCCAGGTTCCAACTGGGAAGGTCCTACAAGCAAAAGGCATCACTCACCCAGCCAGCGACCACAAAGGACCAGCAGGAGACCACTTCATCAGAATACAGTCTGTACTATCCCAGTATCATTCCCCACAGCTCCCAGAAATCAAATCACACACCCAGAGCCCTGGCTCAGCAGACACCTCCCTCAGCAGCCCAGCCCAATCCTGACAAACCTTGCAAACCAGGCAAACTCCACAGCACGATTTCCAGGTGTTTCCCAAGCAAATGTAGAACTTGCCTTAAAAATCAGGAGTCAGGGCAGCCCTGTTGTATCAGAGGTGCCCAGATCCTTGCCAGCAGGATGAGGTCAGGGCACACTCACAATCAGCACAAGTGAAGGACAACACATCACTTTCTAATCATGCTCCATGAACAGCCTCGAGTCCTCATTTACAAACCAAACATGAGGTTTTCCTGTTCTTAGCATGAGAAAGTCACCTGAGATAGAGAGAGAAGCTCCACCCTGGTCTGCCTCACCTAAGAAAGGGGATCAAAATTAAGATGTAGGGATCTGGTTACAGTCAGATGCCTTAATCCTATCTCACCTAACAGAGCTCACCACCAAGAACAGGGACAGGAGATGTGCAAGTAAAAGTGCCT